TTAGCTCCTTGTCAAAGTAGTACCAATTCTTTGTGATGGGCAGGCCATTCTCATCCAGCTCCACCTCTTCGCCACCGCTGGTCGCACCGACACCGCTGCTACCGCCAATAAAATTAATCTCACCTCCAGCACCGGAATCGCTATCGCGGCCAAACACGGCGTCGTTGATTTTGTGCAGACACATGTCAATCTTCATGGCAGCGCTGGAAAATCCATGGGAGGGGAAAAGAGCAGAATCTGTCTTTTCCTCGGTTTCCGTGCGACCGTCAATGTTGATACCAAGCTTGGAACTCAGCCAACCCACAGCCTGCCGAGACATCTTACCGGCCACACACTCACACTCCTTCTTGCAAAATTAAAAACAAAATAATAATAAAGAAGACAAAAAAATAAAAAATAAAAATAAAAATAAATAAATAAACTAAAATCAACAGTCATAAAAAGAGACGTCACACCACCAAAACTCAGATGCAACAATCGTCTGGCAAAAGACATCATATGATATCATAAATCATTTGCACCAATCAGGGCGAAAGAGAATTGCCTCTTCCACAGTTCCATTTTTCGTCAGCCCCTCGTTTTTCTTCTTGTTGTTGGTTTTCTTTTAATTGACATGTCTTTTTCTTTTGGTCATCATAATCCACGTCCACCCCTCTCAAAGCCCCCCCTCCTCCCATTCATTGAGGAGCCTTTCATATATGAACGGAATAAAAAGAACCTCGTCCCGTACTGGGCTAAAAAATTACACTCCTTGCCAATATAAAGAAACAACACATATATAAACATAAAAATCAACATAAAAAACCATGATAATGAGAATTGTACATACATGTCTCCAGTAATGGGTAAAAAATAATAACAATAATAATAAGAAGAAAAAGAACCTGTGATCAGCAACAATTACATTTGCGTCCCACTTTTCCTGCCACAAATGGCACCTCTCACACAACACAACACAACAAACAAAAAAAGTACAACAGAACGCAGCCACAAATTCACCACCCCGATAAAAATCATAGGGACACCCACAAACACACACACACACACAGAGAGAGAGAGAGAATATGCGCCTGGCTGAAGACGTGTCCCCATATTACTCGAAAACACAAAAAAAAGCACAACAATGGGAAATCAAGGTTTCCCTCCATTTTATACAGAATCCCCCACACCTCGAAGAAGATGCAACAAACTCTCATACACACACAAGGGAGAAAAAAAAAAAAAAAAAAAGTGCCCAAAAACTGTATCCCACAACAACCAGGCTCACTCAAAGCTTGAAAGACGGTTGTCTTTGAACACCTCACTGCCGTCAGAACCCTCCCCTGCGTGAAGTGCAGTAAAATGGTCGGGCAAAATGCAGAAAAGAAAATAAAAAACTTCCCCCGCCGCCGTCCAGCGTAATACATTTAAAAGCAAAAATCTATACACCGGTAGAGAAGCAGAGTAGATCCCGGGAGGGAAGGGGGAAAAAAATTATTGATTCGACCCTTGTCTGGGCGCACTTCCTCCCCACAAAAAGGTTTCAAGAATCAAAAAAAAAAAAGAAAAAAAGACACGCGCAAAATAAATAAATAAAATATAACCAACTTAACACCATTTACAAAACTGGATCGCCCGTTTTTTTTTTTTTTTTTTTTTCTTCTTCTTTCCTATTGTTGGAGATGAGGAGTATTCCTCCTCTTCCCCTATCCCCACCGAATTAAAGAAAACGTGGGATCACGGGCCCTGGTGACAAAACGGGGTTCATTCATGAAGCATGCGAGAAGGAGGCACCAAAGTTTCCCCTTTTCACCCCACATACCCCACACACACACACATGCGCTCATACACTTCTCTCATCCAGAAAAGAAAAACACAAAAATACTGTTAGCCTCGGGATAAAAGGAAAAAAAAAAAAAAAAAGGTGAGTCCCCATCATTCCTCCGGTACCGCCATTTTCACAAACTCCTCCTCCGACACGGCGTCATCGAATAGTGACAACTCTTCGTCCAACGATAAACATCTTTCACCCTCGGCGTCAACAACAAGAAAGTCCTTTTTTTCTTCCGCATCCGTAACAAGTGAAGTTACAGCGGCAGATCCCTCACTGACATTCACCGCCTCTTCTTCCAGATGACAAGGCGGTTTTTCCGGAATCAAGAAGTATGCCCAAGGGGCACTAAGCATCCCCACAGCCCCCATGACGTAACACACAGAGGCAAAACCAAAGTAGTCCATAATTACGCCCGAAGCCATTGGCCCAAGCACTTGCCCAGAGTCCTGCACAGTTCGTATAAGACCCATGAAGGGAGCGCGGCCAGTGGATGGAGAATGGTTGGCAGTAAGTGACAGCAACATTCCAGAGCTGGTAGACTCCGCGACACCAAAGAACACGGAAGCCAGAATCAATGAAGCAAGAGAATTAGCATTAGAAAGAATAAAAAAGGCGATGCCCAGATTTATCGACGTAGGGATAGTCACATAGCTTTGGCCACACTTATCCATAATATAACCTCCCAAGAAAAAAAAAGTGGCATCTACTGAATATGATGATACCAACACCAGACCCACCATAGACGATGAAAGCCCCATATTCATTGCCGCAATTACCAATAACATCCCTCTACACTGGCGCAAACAGATAATAATCAATGAATAAAAGCCGACACGTACAATGATTTCCCAGTAATTTCGCAACACATGCATCATTTCATGAAACTCCTTCGAAATACTGTGTGTACCCTTTTCTTCACGAATCCCTTCATCCACCTCACGTATCCTCTTATTTTTTGCCATCACGTAGGCGCATCCAAGACTCATTGGCACAATAGAGAAGGCGGTTACGCGAATATCACAGATATCCGTCAGTACTCCGGCAACACCAGGCCCCAAGACGGAACACCAACGTGCAATGCCACCAACAACAGACATAAGACGGCCACAAATGGAACGAGGAACTGCTTTTGCAATAAAGACATGCCGAGCCACAAAAAATAAGCCCACGCCAGCACCCCAAAGCATAGACGCGAGGGCAAGCACAAAGGGGGACCATGCCATCGTAGCAACAAGGCCACCAAGAGCATTTAGAAGCATGCCGGCGACCATCATGAGACGAGTCCCATAGACTGAAGTGGCAAATGCAAAGAACATATCAAAGACAACTTTGACAATTCCTGCAGAACCAATAATGAACCCCAGTTGGCTGTCCGTTGATCCCAGCTGTCGTGCAAAGAGAGGAACAAAGGTGGTGCGCACACCGCCACTAAAGCTCTGCAGAAAATTAGGAATATGAAGGGATTCTGCCCAATCCCGTACCAATTCCCAAAAAGACGCCATGATCAATAAGCGTATCTAAACTAACACGCCAAAAAGAGAGCATCGGCAAAAACAAACAAAATCAAAACAATAGTCAAAGTAGTTTTGTTGATTGTCCGCAAAACCCACGGACAAACTTGAATGGGAACAAAAGAGTGGAGGAGGCAGAAACAAAACACACATTAATATACATATATATGTATATTCCGACAAAATAAATCGCAACAACAGAAACACCAGTGCCTCAACTTCCGCAAGTGTGAGTGATGCGCAACTCAACAGCATCAACCTCCGTAAGGCATTTTTTAAGAAGACGTCTCAACCCCACTTCGGCACCCTTTCCATCATCCTGAATGCTGAGGCAGGCAAGCCTGTGCTTCAAAAAACTACGAATGCAGGCAAAATTCCAGTTTGTGCCTCCAATCAGCAAATTTTCCACGTGTTTGTGCCACGCCGTGCAATCTTCACCAAAAAGCAGGACGCGGTCCTCTTCAGTCAAAAGTCGTTGTAATCGATTGGCGTCCCGACAGAAGGCCTCCACCATTCGTTCCACGCACCACTCATTGCACCAATTATGGTTGATGGAAATCACCAAAGAAACGCTCCCGGTGTCGTCATTATCTAACACCTTGGCCTTTTTGGGATTCGCTGCGTCGTCAGGTCGCAAGGTGTTTTTAGGAGGCAAGAGAAATTGTGGACCACTCACATTATGAACCTGATGCAGGTATCCACTGGGCACAAACACAAGATCTCCTGGACGCTGCAGTACCGCCCACAGCTCAGCGCCTGTAGTGGTTCGAATGTCAACGGGCAACATCAGACCATAAAGACTAGTTTCCAGAAGTCGCTGGTTACCTTCCGGTGACGGAAAAAACCACAGTTTCTCCCCGCACACATTCAATGACCAGGAGTATGTTCCAAATACGTCAAAGTGCAAGGGTGTCCAACTGGAGGGCGGCCCAATGTATGCAAAACGATAATCACTCTCTGTGTCACCAAAATGGCAATAATTTGCCTCGCCACCTCCCAAGCAGCGGCAGAAGTCATCCATCCAATCATGGCCCAGGTATTCAGGAACCTGATAAAGACCATCACCATGCACAATACAATGATACCCATCGATCACTGCTTTCTTCTCAACTGAATTTCTTTCGGTGGCTCCCCCTTGGGACTCAGACTCCAATTGCATGTGCCAATCCTTCAAATACAACACCCCATCCTTCCGACGCCAGCACTCCATGACCTCGCCCAATGGCCTCATACGACACTCCATGCACTCAAATTGGTCAGAGTCAGAGGTTTTTCCAGTCATGAATTCCACTGTTGGCACATGATGACCTTCCCCATATGCGTCAATGAGGCTCATAGGCGCAAGCCGTGACGTCATACGTTCTAAACAAGAAACAAAACCCTCTTTTGAGCCTGTCTCACATTCGGGAACAGCACATCGAATAACGGCCGGAACGTTTGGTTCGAGACAACACTCACGAAACTTCTCAAACGTCAAAGTTCTGCCATCTAGCTCAAGCATGCATGTAACCCCGCCTTGCTTGACCTCGACACACATTTTCCCCCTTTCCCCCACCACCGCAAACCCCATGGCCAATGAGACAAACAAAAAAAAGCAGTAAAAAAGAAAAAAAAAGTTCAAATGATAAGAAGAGACAAACAATAAAAAACACACAAAAAAACAAGAAATTGAAACCCCTGAAGAAAAATACAAACACCAAAGAAATGCAAAGGAACAGTACACTATAAAAAGAAAAGGGCTTCTGCCCCTGGGCCAATCCACGACAACCACCATCACGGCACGCAAGTTGAAAAACAAATAATTAAAGAGAAAACGGCAAACACAACTCAGGGCGTCGTGGCTAAATATCATGAAGATTCCTTTTCGCGTGCTCCTTCCCAGTTTTAATGCACATAAGACTGTGAGATAGGGCCACATGGCCAATCGCTGCGTCCAGTTCCATGCGAAACGCCTCCACACACGCGCATGCCTCAAGAAAATGCCGATGTTTCTTAAGTGCAACAAGCAGTTCTTGGTTAGGAAACTCCTGTTCAACGATGTCCCTCACCCAGCAAAGCGAATTTCCAAGCTGAATAAACTGAAAGTACAAGTATTTGCGTGTGTACAAATGAGAGGCAGTGCTGTGTATGATACCAATGGAAAGGTTGCTCTCTGCCAGAAGCTTATTCTGCGACCCCACATCGACAAGCTCCGTCTTCATATTCGTTTTCGCCGCGACTGCTGCTGCTGCAGATGCAAGCGCAAATGCCACGTCTTCGTCGTGTTGAAGTCCCTCGTCAATGGTGTCGCGCAGTTTAAGCAAGGCCTGGCGGAGTTGGCCGTACCTAGAGTCCATGAGAGTGTACAGGACACGAAAGTCCGGCAAGACACAGATGGTGGACCACAGTTGCGTCAAAAGTGAGCAAACAACGGAGGGAATTATCAACATTTTGGAAGTCATCTCGCAGAGACGCTCCACAAGTGGCGATTGGTGAACCCCAATGTGAAACCAAATATTATTCGACTCCTTTTTTGCGGCCTGATTGTCCATCGAGGCAAAAGAAGTTTCCTGGAGCGTCTGACTATGACCACTACCTTCAAGCACGAATTCCAAAAATTCCTCATCCACACCTCTGCAAGAACAGTTCATGATGCGTTGTCTCTTCTCAAGAATGCACGCAGGAACATGACTCTCCACTAGCAGCAGACGGGAAAGGATTTCCTCCGCAATGGTCTCTGCGTTGGTCCATAGCATGATTCCCCTCGGAGCTCGTAGTCGTGCAGAAAAGCACTCCGTGACATCCAGATATGGAGATGTCTCAGCGGCGGAAAGTTCCAACTCAGACGTCAACTGTTGAAGATATTCTACATTTCTTGCCTTGTCTGGCGAAGAATTCGTAACAGAAGTGTCATCCCCATCACTAGTAGCAGTCGTGGTTTTTCCATATGCATTTTTTAGCTCAGACTGCAGAGCACGTTGGAGCGCATCCACATACACCTCAGCAAGTGTGGAAATGGACAGGGAAAGGGCAAACTCCATAAATAGCACCGGTTCGTACAGTGCAATTGTATCTAGCAGGTACAACGTAACCTCTGTGCAGCTCCAGTCTTCATCGCTCCGTATTGCAAGATTCGGCAACAAGACGTATTCTAGCAAAGTCACCGTCGACGATAAAGAAGACAGCATCTCTTTGGGAGTAACAGTTAACCGCATTGGATTTCCACTCAAACGGTCAATATGTGTGCCCAGTAACGCCCGCGTCACAGCAGAAACGTAAAAAGAAGGCGATCGACCCACAAAACGCACAGTTCTGGCCGTCACAAGAGCGGCGGCAGCGTACACTTTCTCTTCTGCTGAACAAAGCAGCGGCACAAGTGCACCGTGGACAAAACTACTTTCGATCATTGCCTCTACTCCCCAAGCCTCTGATACAGCAGGGGACAATAATATCAGTTGCGACCAGAAACGCAGCAACTCAGACAGGTAACTGAGCTGTGCGTTAGTGTCATCGTTGTAAGGGACTGTGCATAAAGTAAGGAGAGTTGTTCGTGCCCCCATTAAAGTTGCTGATGCCACTGCAGTTTGCTTCTTCACATAATCCTGTATCGCTGGATCAGGACATTTGGCAAGACTAAGCAGTCCCCGCAATGCCAGTTGATAAATCGTTTGCTGTTTGTTGGGGTGAACGGATTCTCCCCGAATTGTAGCGTAAACCAGCAATTCGTGCAGAATACTAAAAGAAGAGCCGACAGTCGGTGGTGATTCGGGGTTTGTTTCAAAGTCCGCTTCTTCCTTTGCATCTGTCACAGATTCGGGAATAAGAAACATGGCCAACGCAGGAACTTGTTCCATCCTTTCCGTCAATGCACACAAAAGGTTAAGAAGTGCCTCGCGTTCCTCCTCCATCGCATCCGTGTTTGATTCTCGAGTGTTGGATGTTGAAGACATTCCCATGGTGTCTTCTTTGCCTACTGTTTTTGGTCGAAGCCTGGCCGCCACCTGACGAAGCATATCCATCAGTGGAACAACCGTGTTGCCAGGAAACATCTGCAACAACGATCGTGGTGGATCTCCTCTGTATGGTAAACATGGAAGATCCGCCTCCGAGAGCAAACGAGCCAAAAACCAAAGTATGATACGTCGAGCACCCGGTGGATCATCGTGTTTGGCAAACTGGCACAAGGAAAGAAGAAAAATATGCCCAATAGGGGATATTTCCTCCTCGTCCACGGCGTTCTCCTCCTCATGAGACGTAAAAAATGGCTCATCCCAAAGAAATGTGTAACACGGGGGCAGTCGCCAAACCCCATCGGTACAGGCTTTGTTTCCAAAATGGCTGCTGCTATTGGGATCCTTGAAACTCGGTCTCTGCAATGACATGAGGACGTCACTCTTGCTACTGACGCTGCTTGCACAATATGTGTCCACTTTTCTTACCTGCGGTACAAACCCGGATTGCATCATCTGCGACCGTTCTTGCAGAAGCGCCTTCTGTATTACCTCCAACGAGTGTGTTACATGTGGCAGACGGTCAGCAATTTCAGCCAATGCAACATCTTCCACTGCGGCCTGCTCCTCCATAAAGTACGCACGTATACTGGCCCACGCATCAGCTACAGTCAAAACTAGGGAGGAGGATGAGGACTCCACGGTATCGGAAGCAACTCCTTGGCATGTCTGCTCCATTTCTCAAGAGAAAAAAAAGAAAAAAACATGGACAAGAAATGGGGAAAAAAAATCAACAAAGTAAAATACACCATCTCAAAAGCAACAATTTTCTCTAACGGTGCACGGACTATCAAGAGCCTCTCCCTTCACTTCCTCGCTTCTCATCCGCCGACGCGTTCAAAACCTAAATGACACCCTTAACAAAGCGGCAACGAGTATGTGCATTGAATCGCCGACGTGATTTCTACTTCAGCATTTACTCCTCCATTTTTTGCTTCTCACAAACATGCATGTGTTCCCCCTTTCTTCTTTTTTCTTTTTAAACTGCATTAACCGGTTACA